TATTCCAATATCCAGTCGCAAAAAATTTAAAAACAGATTCAGGCATGCTTCAACCATACGCGCCGTGTATTAGAGCTACGTGCCACGCAGAAGACGCAATTCTGAGGGTTCCGTCTACTATGATTCAAATTTCTATTTGACTAAGGATTGCATTCTTTTGGTCCACTTAAACCTATTAATTATTCAGAAGAAACCTTTTTCGAAAAGTGGATCGTTATTAAAATAATGATAGAAACAAAAATAAATAAATAAATAAATAAAATAAAATAAATTTAACTATACCTATTATATGCGGGATGAGGAGCCAAAGATTTATATTTGAACGACAGGCGCTCCATCACCGGTTGTCGTCGTTTGTTGTGTGTCGGCAGCAATTATACAATTTGTTGATTCAATTCTTTGCTTGCAGGAAAGAGTTTGCTAAAAAAAACATTCGAGACCCATCAGACTATTTCCTTTGATTTATTATACCATTAACTAGAAAGCAAAATAAAAGGGACCAAATTAGTCAAGAGTAGCAAGAATTTGGTCTTCCGCTTAACCTTCGGGAATATGCCTCGTTGGTAGAATAAGTAGGTCAAGAAATCTATAGTAGTCAAATAAAAGGGACCAAATTAGTCAATGATCAAACCCATGCAAAAATTAAATCAAGGAAAAATATAATATGTAACAAAATCATGACGCGATATGGAAATCGCGTCACTATAAACGATTAGAAGGTTTAAATCGTGTTGAAATATCAACATCTCGGCATGCATATGTGCCTAAAGAGTATTCATGTAGTTTTTGACCAATTTCATTTGTTTATAACCCCGCACTTAGTCTCTTTTGTTCCTGCATAACAAAACACATTTCCGACAAAAGAAACCGTTATAAAAATATAAAAATAAAACAACTTTCAAGCAACTTTCCATTCAGAAAAGATCGATCAATCGATAATTAGATACAACAATATTAGTTGAAATCTATTCCCTGACAGCTACACCAAAACTTGATGTGTAAAAGATAGTCTATAAACTTTAGATAACATGAAAATCATTCCATTGGACAACGGCACCAAAAACTTCATGACATAAAAGATATAGACTTAAAAATACAAATGTAGTTTTATATTTATAATTCCTAACAAACCAAACTGACTATCTAAACTAGGAAATGGACATGATCAATGACAACATAACTTAGGTAAGTAAGGGTGTCGAACACATGGGGACCAGGAGTGTAGTTACATATTAGTATCTTATTATTAATTAATCTCAAAAGAAAGAAATTAAAGGGGAATAATTGTTACTCAGATATACTATAAAACAAATAAGTAATCAAATAACAACCATGGCTAACTATATAGATAACATAATCTAAAGGTATTCCTATTTGTATTTAGTCCATCATATGATTCTAAGTTGTCTACCAGCAAATACAGCTCCCCTAGACTTAGTCTATTATGTCGAATTATGAAAGAATCAATAGGTATGATCAGTCTCAGGGTTAGTGGTTACTTCTCTAATTGTCCATGTTATTGGATCAATCATAAATTTGAACTTAACTTTATTATGTTTAACACATGGACACAACTTTCCACTAGTCACTACTACCTACGCTCTTAACTCAGTTTTCCAACTTGGAAAAGTTAATAAGCAATGTGATTCAAGATACGTAATCTGAACCTAATCATAAATCATGCACCCAGTTACATAAACATAATGAAATCAATATCAATACGCATGCATCTTTAATTGAGCAAACATAATAAATTGAATAAATCTCAATACTAAATATCAATCGATCATTAAAACTAGTGTTTTCCTACTGTTCTAAAAACATCAATAAAACTAGGGATTCACAAATGTCAAAGAATCATAAAGGGTTTATTCCCAAATATTAAAAAGAACGTGTAAGAGATAAAAAAAAGTTGACTAATTATAGACAAAAAGGTAAACTGAGAACCTAACGATTTCTTCTCTTGATCTCCAGATTTCTACATCTATATCATCCTGTCGGCTGATATAGTGTTCTAGCCTCTCAAAACGGCCTCCTTGTACGTTTTCTGCCCCTCTAAAGTTTTTGGAAATTGCCCTACTAATGTATTTCTTTGTTGGACGAATTTGAGATTCTATTTATAGTTTTCTATTACCAACTTATTTTGCGACGAGATTTAATAAATTCAGAAAATATCTTCAAAATCTTCATAATCTTCCATTCATACCTCCAACTTTGTTGATCTGACTTCAACGATGATTTTGGACAAGATAAATCTGAATTATCAAAAAGGCTCTTACATATGAGTCAAAGATATGGCCCAAACATTGCAGAAGGGTCCATCAGGCAATTTAGAATTTAGCAAACATATTCCTGTTTTTCACCAACTCAACTATTGTGACAACTAAGAAAATTACGTTTGATGTGACCTAGGTCTCCAAACTGTCTCGGATGGTTACTCTGATCATGGCGACATGGAAAATTAGTACTCTGGGAAGACCCGTGAGGTCACAACCGGAAACCGTCAGTCGTTCTCCGGAAGGAGTTCCCAAGAAAACGCTCTAACGGTCAAGTCAGTGGTTGAACTGAGATTTTATAGTGAGGGCTAGGGGAGAATAGCTTATTATTTGAGGTGGCGAAGGAGGCCTTTTATACTGAGACCTCCTTGCTAGTTTGTACGGGGACAATGTTGTTAGGTCCGACATGATCTGACGCCTTCATTGGTTAATCATGCTCCTCGTAGTGTCAGAGCTAGTGAATGGTTAAAGTAATAATTCTCTAAGCATACTACTTCTCACTTGGAGCCATTGGGTTTTTCGTGGAGTGGAAAGCGTCCGCTGAAGGCTAAGCCTTCTACGTGGTCGCAAAGCTCTAGAGGGCCGCCCGCGAGCGCGATACGTCATCGGGGCGGCTGTGCTAGGAGTAACCTGGCCTGGAGGCCTGCCTTGGTATCTTTAGCGTCTCTTGAGCATGGCTTCTAGCCCATGCTAGGCGTACGTTATCAAGTCCCCTATTCTAGTAGTAACAACGTTTTCTAGGCTAGCTATAATGTTACAGACTTAACTGCCATTACACGCGTCAAGCTAGGGTTCGAGTGACCTTCGACGTTTCCGTTGATATGAATTCCCATAACGCTTGTCAGTTACGTCATTCGTCAGGGATTTTTGGAATATCCCGCCTCTTTACTCTCTTATAAGTTAGGGTTATTTCATCATTTTATCCATGCCTTTTATCTTACTTCTTCCTTCTTCTTTGACTTTCCCCTTTTTCTTATTCTTCCTCTTTCCATGGCAAACCAACTTGGAATTGTTCCCTCCCCTACATAATTTGATCTTTTACAAGATACGTACAGCTTTTATTATGTTGATGGTATGGAGCTTTCGACTGCTGACTCGATGATCCTATCGCCTCCCCCCGGGAAGGTTGGCATCTACTTGAAAACCTTCGATGTTGGGCTTCATCTTCCTCTGACTGACTTTCAGGAGGAGTTGCTTCACAAGAATGGGTGCAGCATAGAGATGCTCACCCAAACGTTGTCAACAAAATGGTGGCTTTCGAAATGATTTTTCGGGCCAATAATATCCTTCCCGACTTCTTCGTCTTCAAGTTCTTCTTTCGGTTTAGTGCCACTGGGGATAAGTACATGTTCTCCGCCCATCGTGGGGATAACATCCTGGTTCTAGACGGCAAGACTCCCAAGAACTGGAACGATAGGTGGTTGTGGGTCAATCATGAGTGAGTGGGCCGCGGGCATTATCGGCCAAACAACATGTCGAATGTTACCCCCAAATTGTTCTCACACAACCAGGTTACTTCCGACCTCTTGAGGACAATCTAGGTTATTCTTGACGAGTAAGCGGAGGCCATTCTTGCTGGTGTTGGGATGATTCTGCTCTGTCGTTCGTAGGGGAAGATGCCGATCTTCTATGTTATTGCTGATGGTAAGTGTTTAGTGGTCGAGGCGATTGTAGCGTTGAGGTATGCTTGTTTTTCCGCCTCTCCTTCTTCTTGTCTTAGGTAATGTTCTACCTTCTCTTTTAACTTGGCTCGTGTCTGGGGTGTCTTTCCCATGAGCTTCTTGGACAACGGCCTGGGATGGAGGCCCGACGTGAAAGCTCCTGCTATTAGCCCATCGTCGTGTCATGGGATGTCTAAGGTAGCATTGTTGAATCTTTCAAAATATCTCTTACCGTCTCTCCCTCATTCTGTTTACAACCAATAATGGAGTGAGAGTCCCTTTTGTACTTCTGCGGTTGCATGAAGTTCGTCAGGAAGAGATACTTCAGTTGGCCAAAATTGTAAATGCTTCCTGGACGAAGAGTCTTAAACCACATTTATGCGTTGCCATCTAGCGTTGTTGGGAGGTACATACACCAGAACCGTTTGTCTAGCTTTAGGGAGCTTATTTTCCACTCGTACGTGTCAATATGGCTATCTAGGTCTGTAATTCCATTGTAAGTCTTGAGGTGTGGCAACTTTGCAGTATTCAGTATTTCATAGTCTAAAAGTTCTTTTGTAAAGGGTGATGTTACACTTCTTGACACGTAGTCTTGATTTGAGTTCTGGATGATGTGACTAGGGTGGAACTGTTGGGTAACGAGATACGGTTGTACCAACATGTTGTTGTATGTTGAAAAAGGTGTTGGAGTCGGTCCGTAGATACTTTGGGGTTGAAACGGGAAGGTGAGCGGTGTATTCGTTGTGAGTGGTTGGTTCAATGGTGGTAGATGGTTGGCTGAGGACAGTTGATTTCTTGTCAACAGCGTAGGTTGTTGTAATGGAGAAGAGAGTAGTGTGTTCACCATGAATGGCTGGTTTAATGGTGGCCACTGTTGGCTGATGATAGTTGGTTCGTTGTCGACAGCGGAAGTTTTTGTAGCAGCGAGGAAAGTGTTGTGTTCGTCGTGAATGGAGTTGCATGGAGGGTGGCGGCTTGTTCACCGACGGTTTGGTTTACTAATGGGGGTCATTTTTGTGTAAAGGGGAATGTTCCACCAGCAGTTGATATCACTGGCAGCGCCATGCTACAGAATATCGATGTCGCATGGATGTTGTTAAACAAAACGGTTTACGGTGGTGCGGTGAGAAAAGGCATTGATACCTCCATTGTTGTCACCCAAAGGCTGGTCACCGGAGTGCTAACCATCGTTGGACCATCGGACTGTGGTGTATTGGTTGTGACGGTCGACGATGGTTGTGGTGAAGTAGTGTTAGTGATGTCCGCTTCTAACGACATCATGGATTCGACTGGGCTTCCCGACATGTTACTCGCTTCACTGGTGCCTTCTTTCGTCATCTTCAAGGTTGATGATGTGTGGTTTCCAGTTGCTTGTGGTCACTCACCGGATAGCGCCAAATGATGCGACCTAGGTCTCCGGACTGTCTCGGATGGTAGCTCTGATCATGGCGAGATGGCAAATGATTGCTCCGAGAAGACTTATGAGGTCACAACAGGAAACCGTCAGCCGTTCTCCGGGAGGAGCTCCCAAGAAAATGCTCTAATGGTCAAGTCAATGGCTGAACTGAGAGTGTATAGTAAGGGCTAGGGGAGAACATCTTACCGTTTGAGGTAGCGGAGGAGGCCTTTTATACTGAGACCTCCTTTCCAATCCGTACGGGGACAAGCTCGTCATGTGACATCACCATTTTCACGGCCATAAAAGACCGAATTGTTTATGCTTATTTGAAAATCATAGTATCCTTTTTGAAAAGTAGTATTGCAGAATTTGTTCCCAAAAAACGTGATAAAGATATTGTTAAAGCATTTCCGGAGAAATGTAATTTGTTTATATTAAAACATTTGGATGTCATCGTCAATACAGAAACATAAGCATAAACTGACCATACATTCATTTACACTAATGATTTACATCTCCTTTAATCTATCAGTGTAATGTATCTTCATATCGACACCTGTGATACAAATAAACTGAGTGGGTCAGGTTGGGAAACCTGGTGAGTACATAGGGTTTTCAACCCACAATAATATAATTAATATGTTTAATCATCAAACAATTAACCCAACTTCCCATCCCCATTATCTTCTGTATTTTTAAAAATCTACCCTAAGAATCATCTATTGTTCATTCATTCGTTCCAAAGGATTGTCCTAAGGAATAAGCATGAAGTCAATCACTGCCAAGGTTTATCCAACATGCACTAAGTCCATAGCCGCCGACGTTATCTATTAGACACTAAGTCCATAGGTGCCAATGTTCATCTACACTAAATCCATAGCTGCCAACGTTCACTTATAAGGCACTAAGTTCATAGCTTCCAAGGTTTTTAGAGTACATCTAGTGAACACGTCGTTCACAAACAACTACAGGTTGTGAGCCTGCTAGTGTTCCATTGGAGTGTCTAGAATAGTCTATGGTAGTCATCTATACACTACTAGATGACTGAATCAACGTTAAAGTCAAGACTTCTCATCATCTATATCATCTTTCATCTCTCATCATTCATCAACCCATATTTACCCAATATATTTATAGGTATAAAAACACATATACAGTTTAAATCACGTAAAACATGTATAAATCGTTCATCTAGCATAAATATCAGTAAAACAGATAATAAGCACATATAGCATGTATTAACAGTAAATACTTCATATCTATGTGTAAGATGAAAGTAACTATGCACTCACCAGTTAAGGCGATGACTCGAAATTCGGGCAGCGCTTCGCTTCTAACAATCGTCTTTTCCTTCAACGAAACCTAGCATTATTATCGCTAAGTTTTTAGTCTAATATTTATTGTGACTAATTATTAGTCTAGAATTATCATTAACTCCAATTCTACATCACAATCTATCAAGTAAGGAACAACCAAGTAGGATCATATCAGAGGTACGGTCAGTATGGTATACGAAGTATAGTGTTTGGAAATCCCACTTTAAACACATCACTAAATCACAACCTAGACATCATCCCCATAAGTAGATCAATGAGTATAACGACTTGGAATCACTGATAAATCTTGTTTATAGGTTCATAAAACGACAATGAACTTAAACATAATTTATACTTAAAGTATGGTAAGCATAACTCACTTACAAGGGGGTTTAGCGAGGAACCGGGCTCTGTGCGACCAGAACTTCTGAGCTAAAAGCTCCTCTTCTCGGGAACTTCTGGTGCTTCGGGACTCGCTTCTAACGCCTAGGAGGTGCTAAGGAAAAACTCAGAGGGTTTGGGGTGTTTGGGAGAGAAGGTTGAGAAAAGGTGTGAAGAAATGATGTGATTTGCGACTCTATTTATAGGTTGGAGGTTATGCGTATGCTCGGCGTGCTGGATATGTACGCTGGGTGTACTCTGTACGTGGGGCGTACCAAGAGCTACGCGGGGCGTACCAAGAGCTACACGGGGCGTACCAAGAGCTACGCGGGGCGTACACTGCCACTTATCAAAATCGCATGCGAAGCCGTGGGGAAGAAGGTGCGGCTGAGATGGTGCCGAGTCTCACCTCCAGAACTTAACCCCAAAATTAATTAGCTTCTAAATTCTGTAATGTTCGCATACGAGCTCCGTTTTTTACATTCTTTATATCCATGCGTAGGTATCGATGGGATCTCCAACTTTCGTTTTGACTTTGTCGGCTAATTTTGAGTTTATTTTTAAAGTTATTTTTTAACACGCTTAGACAGTTGAAGTCCATTAAAAATTGATAACTTTGTCATCCGACGTCCGATTTCGACTGTCTTTATATCGTTGAGCTCCTATTAACGAGATCTTTGATTCTCGCTTAGGTTGTGTCGGCTAAAAATCGATCAGTCTAAAATTCGATTTTCGGGCTGTGTATTGCTATAATAAATTTTAGAAAAATCATAACTTCATCAAACGAAGTCATATTTGGACGTTCTCAATATGCACACTCTCGTTTTAACCTATACTACAATTTTCGTTTAGATCTCTAAGGCTAAAAAGTAGTTTATTAAAAATTCACTTTTTACGATACGCGACGCTGTGTCGGTTTTGTCGCAAAACTTCGACGGGTCATAACTTCTTCGTTATAAGTCGGATTTCAGCGCTTTTATATGTACGGAATCCTTGTGACATATACTATAACTTTGGTTAATATTTCTGACTCTAAATAATCTTCTATAAAAACTCATTTTTAACGCTTATTATCTCCAAATTGACTAACCCGAATCTGCGAGCGTTACACGTCAGGTCCGACAGGATCTGATGCCTTGATTGGTTAATCGTGCTCCTTGTATCGCCAGAGTTAGCCATTGGTTCAGGTAGTAATGCTCTGAGGATACTCCTTGTCGCTTGGAGCCTTTGGGTTTGTCGCGCAGTGGAAGGCGCTCGTTGAGGGCTGAGCTTTCTACACGGTCCCCCAGCTTTAAAGGGGCGCCTTCGAGCGCGATACTTCATCAGGGCGGCTGTGCTGGGAGTAACCTGGCCTGGCGGCCTACCTTGGTATCTTCAGCGCGTTTTGAACACAACTTCTAGCCCGTGTTAGGGGCACGTTATCAACGTCAACATTCGTCGACCCTGCTCACTATGAACACACATGTAACAGAACTAATGTGACATATGCCACTCATTTTAATGACAATAAAGGTTTACACTATGAATTACATCTGAAATATCACTTAAATCTTTCATTGGTGAAAATTGATGACAAACAAACATTTTTCATTATAGATAAGTAATGATTTGATACATATGATTGAAATATATATATATATATATATATATATATATATATATATATATATATATATATATATATATATATATATATATATATATAAAGTATTATTAAACATAGATGATAGACTAAACAGAGAGTACCCATAATTATGAAATCACGACTATAAAGAACGTAAAAAAATAGAATTTGTATGCCAAAGCTATGATTATCTAAAGAAAATGAACAGTTGAACAACAGTCTATGACCTGCAATCTGAATAGCAAAACTCAAGTGATTCGTTTGACGCGTTAAAATGTGAATTTACAAGTGCGAATAATTTTCTCTAAAACATAATTCAATCTAGTATTTTAATCTAACTCTAAATCATTTTTTCACGAAAAACCAACATTGTTGTGGATAAGATCGAATCACAACCAAGAGATATTCTACCGCTACAAAACATCCAGACAATTCGTTTGGCAAGCTACGCTAGTTGTCATTAAAATGGATTTATATATTATTGATCGTAAAACCACCTAATATTTAGAGAAAACCCTAACTTCCTTCTTTTATGAAAAACCAAAATTGTTGTCGATTTGAACGGATCACGGCAAATGGGATTCTATTGATAACCGCAATTTCAAATAATTCGTTAGGTTAGCTATGCTACTCGTCAGGCTAATGTTTTCATATTTTATAGAGCATAAAATCAAGAAGTATTTTACTGAAACTCATACTTTTTCATGAAAATTCGGGTCTCAACGACCTATTGCACATGGATCGAGAAAGCCCCGCACGATGCATTTCCGACCACCCATTTTAACTGAATTTTTCTCTTATAAATAGAACCTCAGACCCTCACTCTCTTTATCGTCACTACCTCCTACTCTCACCCTCTCTGTCTCTGTCTTTCTCTCTGTCTCTGTCTCTCTTTCTCTCTCGATTTTTGGCCAAGAATTCCGCCGTCGGTAGACCCCCGTCGTTACACTCTTCCCTACAGTGGCCCCTTTTCCACCTCCGATCATCCCACTGCCGACCACCCCTGCTCCGACCAACCTCAAGCATCCTTCCCCTATTCCAATAGAAGCTCCAACCATTGGTTCTGACATCAACAGCCTCTGCTGGCGATCATTTCAGCGAGTTTTTCACCGACCGGCAATCACTATTCCGGACAAACTCAGACATAACACTCTTCATCCGGCAAGTACTATTCATCCAGCAGGCGGAGCGCTGACCAGTTATTTTCTGATACTTTTTGTATTTCATGATTATTTCGATTAAAGCTACACTAACCTCAAAGTGAGTTTCACTGACCCATTTTATAATTTTTGGATTTCCCTTGCTCTAACAGCAGCTCCAGCCACTAGTTCTGACGCCAACAACCGCCACTAGCGAACATTTCAGCGAGTTTTCCAATGACCAAAAATCACTATTCCGCCCAAACTCATACATAACAATCTTCATCCAGAGAGGTACTATTCATCCATCAGGCGGAGCGGTGACCAACTATTTTCTGATAATTTTTGGATTTCATGATTAATTCGGTTATTTATGAAAACTGATAATTTTTGGATTTCATGGGAGAATACATGCCTAAACTGTTATTTATCTATTATTTACACTTATGTTTATGAAAACTGATATTTATAAACTATCGAAACTCTGATTAAAAAACTTTTACAATAGTTGTACTGTCGAAAGTCTAATTACATTAAATATAC